GTTAATGTCAGTGTTTTCAATTGATGAAAATCTATATCCTCCGAGCCTAACTAGGAAACAGGAAAAAGTGAAAATCAGATCTGTGAATACGGTGGATAGTTAATTAAGGTATTTCTCTGAGAAATGGAGTTTTTACAGATATCTTGCAAAACATATACAATTGTAGCACCAGAATGGTTTTGACGAGTAATGCCATCTTTATATTGAAGCTCAAAACTTTTCAAACGACCCTCGTATTTTTGAGGTAATTCTCTCTGTTTTATATATACGAGTATATATAAAGATATGTTAAAATCATCTGTACGTATATAGGGTGTACAAGTATGAAATGCGGATTTTTTTTCCCAAAAAAACACGTTAAATTCGGAAGAATGATAAAAAGAGGTTTATTCAAAGTATGCTCCATTGCTAGTTACACATTTTTCCCATCTTTCAGAAAATTTATGGATACCACGCCAGTAAAAATCTTCCCCTTTTGCCGCGAACCATTCATCGAGCCATTTTTTCACATCTTCGTACGAACCAAAGCGCTGCTCAGCAAGTACCATCGATGCAAACAAATGGTAACCAGAAGGAACCAAGTCTGGTGAGTAAGCCGCATGGGCTAGCACTTTCCAGCTGAGTGCTTCCAACGTGTCGCGAATCGGTTTTGCCGTATGTGATGGAGCATTGTCATGGAGAAAAATGATCTTGTGTTGCCTTTTTCGATATTCTGGTCGTTTTTCAAGTAGCGAACGGTTCAAATCGATCAATTGTTGTTTGGTATTAACGTTTCAACAGGCTTTAACAGCTCATAATAGACCACATCCTTCTGGTCCCACCAAACACAGAGCATCATCTTCCTGCCAAAGCGATTCAGTCTTGTGGTCGATGTGGATGGTGCGCTTGGGTCTACCCATGATTTTTTGCGCTTGGGATTCTCAAAATATATCCACTTTTCATCCCCAGTAACGATACGATGCAAGAACGATTTTCTTTTGTAACGTTCGAGCAAAATTTCACATGTATTTTTGCGCCTCTCCATTTGCCTCTCGTTCAACTCATGTGGTATCTATCTGCCGACCTTTTGAATCTTTCCCATCTCTCGTAGGCGATTGGAAACAGCTTGTTGACTAACGCTTAATTGCTCTGCGAGTTGATTTGTGTTTGTGAATCGTCTTCGTCCAACAATGCTTGCAATTCTACATCTTCGTACCTTTTTGACGGTTTTCCGTGTTGTCTGCAACATCGAAATCATCACTTTTGAAACGCCGAAACCATCGTTCACACGTATCTTGCGATGGAGCATGTTCACCATAAGCTTCTCGAAGTAATGTTCATAAGCTTCTTGAAGTAATCGGTATGATTCAGCAGCAGTTTTCTTCAAATGAAAACAAAAAATTAATGCTGTCCGCGAATGCTCTTCATTTGGCACAAATTTCGACATATTGAACACAGCAAAACAATACTATGCAAACACTTTTTCAATTTATCACTTATGCGCGTTTGACACTTGTTGATGGCACAAAATGTCAAATCTTTATATTATACACTGCATTGGTGCACCATCTGTTGTCTCAAATCCGCACTTCATACTTGTACACCTGGTATATATATATGTTATATATACAGAATGATTTTAACCATTTATTATCCATCATGAGGTAGAGTAAATCGAACTGAATCGAAAAGTTCTCTACCATTTTGCAATTTTCGCAATAGTTAACAAGATATTAATTATTAAAAATTGTCAAATATTGATCTTGAATAATTTTTTATTCGAATACTACCAACTTTATAGAAAAGGTACAAAAGATAAAAATCATTTATTTTCTTCTCATAAAGTTCTGAGAATTTTTTCAGAATTTTTTCAGAATTTTTTAATATCGTATTTTTTCATAAAAATAAAAAAATAGCAGTACTAAAAAGTTGATAAAAAATTCAGCAAAAATTTTTAGAGTTCTATGAGGAGAAAATAAATGATTTTTGTCTTTTGTAGTTTTTCTATAAAGTTGATAGTATTTGAGTAAAAAATTATTCAAAACCAATATTTGGCAATTTTTAGTAATTAATATCTCGTTAACTATTGCGTAAATTACAAAATGGTACATAACTTTTCGACTCACTTCGATTCATTCTACCTGCTTATGATGGGTGACGAAATATATGACAATATATTAAATCACTCTGTGTGTGTGTGTGTGTGTGTGTGTGTGTGTGTATACACAGAGTGTCCCGAAAGTTTTTGCTAATCGCTTTTGTGTAGATAGAGCGGATTAAACTGAGCAAAAAGTCTTCTATCATTTTGCAATTGTTTACTCAAATACTATGAACTTTATAGAAAAACTGCAAGAGACAAAAATCATTTATTTTCTTCTCATAGAACTCTAAGAATTTTTTTGAAATTTTTTATCAACTTTTTAGTATTGCATTTTCTTATTTTTATCAACATGAGGAAATATTTAAAAATTCTGAAAAAAATTCTCATAACTTTTTAAGAAAAAAATAAATAATTTTCTAGACACAAATAAAAAACTTTCTGGACACCTTACACACATACACACACGCGCGCGCGCGCGCAGAGTGGCAGATTGAGGGATCCACTTAAAAAAGTTTTTTTAAAAGATCATCAAAACATTATTAGAACACATATATAAAGATAAAGAAACATAAGTAATATATGCTTTGCTATGATATTGTTGAAGCAGATATTTTAAAAAATTTTTCTTTTTTTTTTGACATTTGTAGTAAAAATTAAAAAATATATAAAATTTTTATAAATACGATTTTTTTAAGAATATTTCTCATATAACTGCTAATAAAAAATTGAGCAATAATACATTAAAAAATAATAATACATTAAAAAATTCAATGTAAAAAGAAGCATTAATATAAACAAAAATTTGTTTTATAGTGATTAGGCTGAAATAATTCCAACTTCGTTTTAAAAAAAATATTCGTTTACAAATGAAGCCAATTGCAAAATTTTCTTTATGATATCATATTCTATGTATGTATATTAAAGCATGTTTAAAAATTTTTTAAGATTTTTTTAAATACGGTAATTTAAGTTTTTTGTTTATTTGTTTGAAAATTGATTTTTTCATACTATTAATTATTTCTTAGTAAAATTAGCGTTCTTATCAGGCAGTATAGGAAAATCCCCCAAAAATTCCTGCTAAAATTTTTGTATGTTGAATAATATTATCTTAAAAACTATAATAAACTTATTGCAAAAAATATTGCCTCGGAGTCAAACCAAGATTAATTTGGGAAATTTGGGGGGACTATTAATATTTCAGATTGATTGCGTTGAAAGTCCGACAACCATATCAGCACGCAATTATCATTTCTGAAATTAATTCATTTATATGAATATATATATTAGTTCAACATCTCAACATTCAGACTGTAGTGGCTTCATAGTAATGTGTTTAAAGTAACGTTATTTAATAAACGGTCTTGTTTCCAATTTTATTGTTTTGTATTTTCTAATTTTAGCTACAAATGTCAAACAAGAAAAATTTCTTAAAATGACTATCCTCAATATCTTGGATGCAAGATATATAATACATACTTTTTTATGTATAATTATTTCTAATTCCTTAATAATTAATGTTAGATGTATAGTAGAAAATGAGATTATCATAAAAATATATGTCATTAAAAAATATCATGTAAATTTAAATTTAAAAAAATTAAATTTTATCAAACTTAACTTAGACTACCGTGGCCTTAGTAATATTTTTTAATATATAACCAATATTATATATATATATATATATATATATATATATATATATGTAGAAACAAAACGTCTTTTTCAGGTGATGTATATAAAAATATCAAAGAAAATCTCTAGAACAGTATATGTGAATACACCAATAGGAAATAAAAATCTTTAATGATCGAAGCTGGATCTTAAGTGCTTAAATAATTTGATACTACATGTAATTATAAAAATTGATTGTCAAATTGATTTTTCGGGCATTTATCAGCAATATTAAGATCTTTTCAAGATGTCTATCAGCATCAAATTATTATATTAATATTACAATTCTGTCAAGTTTGCGTTTAAACAAATATATAAAAACGAAAAATCAATTCGGCGCGCAATTTTCGTGATGACGAGTGTAAATCGAATTATTTAAGCACTTATATTTATATTTAATATCCGGCTTCGACTGTTTTTATTTCCTATTGGTTGTGTACTCATACGTATCCAATGAGATTCTTTTTGTAATATTCGTGTAAATTAAACGTTTTAATAATCGAAACACGTCACTCTGTTTCTTTGTCTAATCTGTTTAAAATTGTAGAGATAGCACCTGTTGAGCAAAGATGCCAATAATTATGTAATCGACAAATGACACGTATGTTTTAGCATAAGGCTTTATCAAAAATAAACAATTTTGCAAAAGACTCGTGACTTTGTCCAATATTTTTAACATAAATAGTATCTGCATTATCTGAATAAAAAATAAACAAACATTAGAAGGAAAAACGATCTAAATCAGATAGATTTTTACCTGGTGGAGTCCTGTCTACCAATACCGCCGGTGATACTGCTGCTCTGAGTGCTAACTCTGATGAGAGTGACATTTCTTGGTAAATTGGAAAATGTTGAGACGCTTTTTCGATCTAAAAGAAGAGATTCCGCCGCATTGTCCAGTAATTCTTTCGTTTGACATTCTGTCTTCCTCTGTTCTTCCACTTCCTCTTCTTCCTCGATAGTTCCCGGAAGTCGAAAAAGTTTCGGCGATTCATCCATCTTCTTTTTCTTCTTTAAGAAGAAAATTGTTTGGAAAGAATTTATTTCATTTTCATTTTGATAGCACACTAGATATCTTATCGCTATCCTTCTTAACATTTTTTTTCAATCTTAATTAATTTGGATTAATTGTTTGTCTTTATTTTATTTTTTGTTATTTCTTTTCTTGTTAGTTAAAATGTAATAATATCGATTTAATCTTTGAAAGGGAATGTTGCTTATTTTGCACTTGATTCCCTTAATCTTTGAGTTATCTCTCTTATCATTCCTGGATAAATAAGAAATTACATTTGATAATTAAATATTTTTTACACATCACATATTTGTATTATGCTAATGATAAATAGCTTATTACATACGAACAGCATGTTAGATAACTCCAAGTGAGCAAACGAAATATCTTATATTATAAAACTATAAGTATATACAATCGATAAATTTGTCAACATAATGCATTTACAAATATTTGATTAAGAATTTTCGATCATAAAAGAATTAAGTGATCAAGTTAGCAATTATTGGAATGATGTTAACATTGCCAATGTAATGACATGTTCTACTTTAAAACCGACAAATTTACTTGTACGTAAATTTTAACATGTTTAAGATATTTTGCTGACCAAAAATTCTAAAACAGCACATTCAAATGAAGTTAATCATAATTTTGTAAACAAAACATTTTTAGGAAACGGAGATTAATTATGTGTTATGAACGCTTGTTGTAATTTCCTATGTAAATGGAAATATCTACTTCTATATTACATTTTGATTATATTATTTGTATTGAGGAAAATCAGAAAAAGTGATTAAAACGTTTTTACAAATTTTATGTATATTATGTAAAAATAAACAGCTATTCTTTTTTCTTTTATATTTCTTTTGAAATTCTGAGTTTTAATTATTTTACTTATTTTACTTAAACAAATAAAATATCTAATTAATTGACTTTGTTAACATCTTTTCAATTAAACTCCTCTTATTTTTAATTAATTCTAAATTATTAATTAGATATTATCTCTCTATTTATTTTTGATCAGTATGATATGACTAATATTGATATTACTTATTCATATCCTTTTTCGTAAAATACATTTTGCAATTATATTAAAATTATATTCTAATAGTACTATATTCTAACAAGATTTCCTATTTTAATAAAATTTCATTAAGAAATGTATTTTCAAGCAAAAAAAAATGTACTGTACCCGTTGATAGGAAAAGATTAAAAAATATATGTACTCAAGCTTAATGTTTATTTAATTTATTATTAGACATTTGAAATTTTATTATCTTTTCTTGTATCGTACGTATTTATAATTGTCTGTATCTAGTAATTAATTAATTATTAGAGTACAGACAATGCATTACTAAAGAAAATTAAAATTATACTTAATAATAAGTAAAAATGCATAATTTCGTTTCCTTTCTATATTTCCTATAAAGAATAAAATGGCATACCTTTAAAAATAATAGTAATTTTTCTCTCTTCCAACTGACATCGAACGCACGTATGCGCGGCACGCTTACGACTGTTTTAAATTCACCCATGTTCATTCGTTCTCTCGAGTCACATGAGATCTCGCCATAGCGTTTATCTCTTTACAGCGCGCAGGCGGTAGTAGTATGCACGTCATAATCACCATACACGCATAAAGCCCATATTAGACAATCTAGTATAAAAGGGGAAGAGGCAAATAAACTTTGCGTAAAATTATGTAAAATCATTATACAATATTTATGATACTTTCATGTTTACATTTATAAAATTCTATGTAGATTTAGAAATATATTAAATAGATTTAGTAAATGTAATGAACTAATATAAAAAAATAAATATAAAATTTTTCTTTCCCGTACATTTTAGTCTTTATATTGTTAAAATTTGTCTATACAATCACGAAATTATCAGAATTATCTGCTCATACTCTACAACTAGACGACATCAAATTATAGATAGCGCTATAATTTTGCATTAAAATGCTTGATTTGAATAGGCGTACGTGCATATGTGCGTGCGTGCGCGCGCGCGCGCTCGTGTGTGTGTGTGCCTCATTAGCATATATTTATAAGAAATATTTATTATTTCTATAAGTCAAGATAATAAAACACAACATAAGCATATAAATACATATATTATGATATATATTATGATATTGTTAATGTAAATTAAGATATTTTATTATTAATATATTGTTGCATATTAATATTTAATTAAAACATTATATGTCGAATATTCGTATTACTATTTATTACCATTTAACCTGATTTTTAATAATACCTTCATCTATATTGTAAACATTAAAATTTTTTATAATATATACGTACATAAAATTCTGATACTAAATATTATAGTGTATAAAATGAACTTAATATCATGAATCTAATACGACGTGACGCACTTCTCCGTTTTCCATACGTTTCCTGCTGCGTCAGAAACCCAATGAACATACGAGAGCATATGAAAGCCTTTATTAACCATATATACAGGGTGTCTTATTTTAAAAAATAAATAATTTTCACAAATGATATAATTTGTAATATGCATAATAGTCTTTGTAAAATAGCTTTTTTAAACAGCAACTATATTTTCATTATATTAATTCATCTCTTTCTTTAAAGCATAAAAGTATTAATGCACTATTATAAAAAAAACATATTTGTAGTTTACAAGATATTTTATGTTTTATGTGAAAATGTAGAAGAATCAAATATAAAACATCTCATAAACTATTGATTGATCGATATATACTATTTTAATATTTTTATTGTAGAATAATTAGAGAAATTATATAATGTAACCATAATTCCATTTTTTTTAATAACCAAATCTTCGACTTTAAAAACTCGCTTTTTAAAAATTAATTTTTCCATTATTTATGCTCCATTAGACCATATAAATTTCATCTGAAACATTCTTTCGTATCTTTTATATTTTACGAGATATTCCTATATAAAAGTTAAAAACTGGGGCACTTCTACTTGCGTGTCAAGTTGAATTCGAATTTCAAATATAAGATTAAACAAATATCGACATATTGTTATTTTCTTATAAAGAAATTGTTTTAATTGTTTCGCAAGGACAAAAAGTTTCTTGCATTATTTATAAATATTGAAATATATTTTTATTAATCCAAAATTTTCTGGTAAACATCTTTTTTATTAAAAAAAAAATAATTGCTTTCGAATTGTTTAAAATAACGATTTCCTAAAAAATATGATTGAAGTTATAGATTTTTTAAATATAAACATTAAAATGTAAAAATATTTATTCGTGATTTTAATTTTAAACTTATTTAAATGTAATTAATAATAATATAAAATTTCTCATAAATAAAATTCTTAAGCTTTTAATATAAGAATCAAAGTGCCTTTAAGAACCGTACACTAGCTGTTTATGTGTTAATTGAAATTTATTACATTATTTGAACAAAGATATATGTAAATGTTTTAACCTTAAATTTAAGTCATTTATTAATGAAATACATATTAACATACACAATACAATAAGAATCGTATATAATAGTATAAATAGAAATCGAAATAATAGTATAAGTAGAAAGATCTTGTCGTTGTATAGTAGTGTGGTATTGTATTGAAAATGATATTGTATCGAAACGTTTACATGTTTTTGTTCATGTAATAAACTCCAATTAATATATAAACAGCTAGTATATGAATTTTAAAGGCATTATATTATAATTGTTATATACATTTAGGACTTTTTCATTGATTTGCTTTAATATAGGGGAATATTTATTTTAATAAAAAATTCAAAACAATATATGTGCTTACATTTTTGGAATATTTCACTGGAAGAATTATTATTAACAATAAGAATTTTTTTAAGGTAAAATATCAAATATCCTTATAGATAAGAATCAAGATAAAATCTAACAATAAGTGTTATATCCAATCTATGTATTCCACTCAGACTGATATCTTTAAAACTCCAAAAACATAATTTTTACATTATATTTCATCTATGCTCCTAAATTTAAAACATCTCTCTCTCTCTCTCTCTCTCTGTTTATATTCTCATTTACATACCTTTAAAATTTCATGCATGCTTATAACGATTCACTTTTAAACTAAATTATCAAACACTTTTTCTTTTTTTAATGTTTTTTAGTTATTTTTATGCACGATTATGAAAATGCTAGATAATACATTTGTGTTTATATGAATACTTCACGATGAGAAAATATGTATGATATTGATGACAAAGCGTTTCGCGAAACTGTGAGTTAGCTCGCATTTACGAAAAGACGCATCAGCGGGCTTTTAAGTGACGTCAGACGTTCACTGTCATTTCATCTGACCCCTCTCTTGGTCTTTCTCGTTCTATCTTATCCCGCTCTTTTTCCATCTCCTCCTTTCAATCCCTCTCTTATTGGCTTACGAGATCGAGAATTGACGCGAAAGTTCTGTATCTTCACGGTCAAATCCGTGATATTATTCACATTTTCTTCAGTATCAAAGAGTTGTACGTATAACATTTAAAACATGTGTGAAATCTCTACATGCTCTACACTTTTATAATTCTTTTTAACCTTTTTATCAAAATTTTTACCAAAGTTTGGTTTATCAATTTTATATGACTTACTTTTTACAAAATGTCTCAAACTTTTTGACACACCACTTGTAGACAGATAAACCGGAACTAAATAGTTAGAGTTCTCTACTATTTTGTAGTTTTCGCAATTAATAAAATATTAATTTCTAAAGATTATTAAATAAAGTCGACACATAAGACAAATTTAAATAATTCTTAACTTTAATAATTCTTTCGAAATTCTTTATGAAATATCTTAAAAAACTTTTTTAAAAATTCCTGAAGATATCTTAAAGTAGTTTTATAAGTCGATTAGATATTCTACTTATTGAAAACTAAAAAAGTAATTGCGAAAATTACAAAATAGTAGAGGACTTTTTGATTTAATTTAGTCCACTCTACTCAAAAACAATATGTCAAAAAGTCATCTTGTATAATTGATTATAATCATATGTAATTAATGCATTAGTACACTGAAAGAAACAATGATTCTATAAATACTATAATTTAACTATAATTTATCCATTTCTTGGATCAATTGTAAATTTATAATTTATAATTTTAACCATGCACATATAAGATTTTTATTATACAAATATTGTAATAATAATAAATAATCGTAAAAATGGACCTTCTAACCATAATTTTTTAATCACAAATATTTTTCCCTTTGTGTATACAAGGTGTTTAATAATTCTGCCGACAACGCTCGTGGGCAGATAGAGCGGACTAAACTGAGTTGAAAAATCCTGTATCTTTTTGCAATTTTCACAATAGTTAACAAGATATTAATTATTGAAAATTGCCGAATATTGGTCTTTAATAATTTTTTTCTCAAATACTATCAATTTTACAGAAAAACTGCAACAGACAAAAATTGTTTATTTTTTTTCATAGAACTCTAAGAATTTTTTCAAAATTAAAAAAAAATTTTTTAGTACTGCATTTTCTTATTGACAACTATTTTTATCAACATGAGAACATATAGTGTTAAAAAATTCTGAAAAAATTCTGAAAAAATTCTCTTTACGAAAAGAAAATAAATTTTTGTCTTTCACTGTTTTTCTGTAGAGTTGATAATATTTGAGTAAAAAATTATTGAAAATCAATATTCAATGATTTTTAGTAAATAATATCTTAGAGTGAAAATGCTCGTATATTTTCTTAAAAAATTAAACAATGTCGTATGTGGCTTATTTTGAGCTTATAATTAGAATAACTTTAAATTAATACAAATAGTATAAGAATATAAATATTATATAATATTCTAAACAAACGTTTCGGCTTACAAGCCTTCTTCAGTGTTAAAACGCAGAAATACAATATTAAATTAACAAATAAATACATGTACAATGAAAACGAATACAATGACAAATTTTTTAAATCATCAGTGGTGAAGTGTCAATATGTAAAGAATTTAAAAGTCAAAATATGTTAAGACAGATAACAATAAGATAAGATTAAAATACTTCGGTCAACAGTAGATTACATGGTGTTCCTTGATAAAATAATTTTGCCAAATTCCTCGATTGAAATCGAGAATCCAATTTGTCACAAATTTGTATCAAATGATTTAAGAATTCATTTATTACTTTATAATATTCTGTAGAACGAGAAGATGAATTAAAATAATATAATTAGTGTGAATGAGAAGTACAGAATCAAATCATAACTCGTTTATTTATATAAAATATTGTAATTAAAATTCTCAAACAGAGATCTGGTCAAGTACATTAAAATTAGAAGTTGACTGTTACTTGTTTGAAAATTGATTGATGTAATGTAGGTCAAATAAAAGTAAATCAATAAAATCGAATGTAAAAACAAGTCTGTTCAAAACTGTGACAATTTATGTTCACGTATATCATCAAGTATATTAATAAGAGGTGTCTAATAACTCAGTATCTTTCATTAAACCGTTTTTTTGTTCTTTAATATATATCATTAATATCAAAAATATTTCTTTTGCGATAATTCTTTTCAAAATCAAGAATACTAACATTTTTCAATTAAAATTATGATTGATTTTGGTGATATGTTTCGAGATTACTGAGTGTGTGTTTGGACTGGTCTAATTTTATATTATTGCGATGTTCTTTAATTCTTGTCTGTAATTGTCTCTTCGTTTGACTAACGTTGTTTTTACATTCGATTTTATTGACTTACTTTTATTTGACCTATACATTACATCAGTCAATTTTCAAACGAGTAATAGTCAACTTCTAATTTTAATGTACTTGACCAGATCTCTGTTTGAGAATTTTAATTACAATATATTTTATATAAATAAACGAGTTATGATTTGATTCTGTACTTCTCATTCACACTAATCATATTATTTTAAATCATCTTCTCGTTCTACAAAATATCACAAAATATTCGTAACAAATAAATTCTCAATTCATTTGATACGAGTCTGCGACAAACTGGATTCTAGATTTCAACTGAAGAATTAAACAAAATTATTTTATCGAGAGACACTATGTAATCTACTGTTGACCGAATAATCTTCTTATCTTATTGTAATCTGTCTTAACATATTTTCGAATTCTTTATATATTGACACTTCACCACTAATGATTTTTTAAATTTTTCATTGTATTCGTTATTTATTTGCTTTGTTAATTATTTAACAACTCAAGTAATGGCAACTTTAATTCTCTGTCAAAAATTATTACTCTTCGAAAAAAATTAATATATTAGGTGTTGGAATTAATTCGTAGCGTTTTACAAGTGATGGGAAGTACTTTCATTAATGTATTTTTTAATGCTCATGTGAAATAAATAACATTCTTTCATTAAAAAACGCTACGAATTAATTCCAACACCTAATATTAAATGAAAAATTAAAACTCAGATGCTACAATCTTAACTAATCAAGTTAAGTTCTATCAAATTAAAAAGTAAAACACAAATGGTTTTATTATATATACAAACTTACCTTTTTAAAAAATGGTGAAAAAACGTTAAGCATGTGTGCTTTTCAGCATGTGTGAAGAATTATTTGGATCGGTTTCACCAACGCCAATTACTTAATTGGCCATGGAACTGACTAATTGTATTTGCTTTTAGTAGAATTGACCACTTATGGTTGACACCGATTCGGCTTAATCGAGTTGGTGAAACCGGCCCTTTGTACATAATATATTAAGTATCCAATCCAATTAATAATAGTTTTAATTTTTTTCAAGGATATTCTTATTTCAAGGATCTTCTTATTCCAACCCAAGTAATGGCAACTTTAATTCTCTGTCAAAAATTATTATTCTTCGAAAAAAATTAATGTATTAAATGAAAAATTAAAACTCAGATGTTACAATCTTAACTAATGAAGTTCTATTAAATTCTATAAAATTAAAAAGTAAAATACAAATGGTACTGTCTCTTGTTATTACATAACTCTAATGATATGTATCATTCGTATAAAATATTTGATATCAACAAAATTGGCGCTAAGTGAAATTCCTCAAAATTGTATGTATTATTCGTAAAAAAGATTTAATATCAACAATTGATGCCAAGTTAAATTCCATGTAATTCGAATATCAAATTATATAAATAATATTAACTTTAATGATATTCCTATAAAAGATTTGATATCAAGAACTGGCGCAAAGTTAAATCCCATTTCCCAAAAGTAAAACTAAAATAAAAGTATAGATACTATCTTTAATTTTTATGAAATGAAGCCAAATAATATCCTGCAATGAGATATTAATTACAAAGAAGTGTAAGAAATTTACTAGTATAGACACAACAGAAATACTAATAGCGTCAGGGCTGTGTGGCTCAGTGGCTGAATCAAATCAGAGGAGAGAACAGACCTAAGATTGAAACAAGGAGCGCCTTAATATTTTTCTCTGTTGTCGTCAATTGTTTACAAAAGTTTCAGGTTGAGATAACAATTGTTATCATAGCTGGAGAGAGGGGAGGTCACATATTATGTTTATGCGAAAATCCCTTTGATTCCACTCCTCTCTGCTCTGATAATAAATTTCACCTCTTTAAACCTCTTTGTGATTATTGTCTGAATATAAGGTAAAATTTTTGACACACAGATCAAAATTGAGTGCCAAAAAAAAACGGGCGATTTTCGCGATATACAGGCGAAAATATAAATCAAAATCAAAATGGGTAGCACAAAATAAAGAGCAATGTCCCTGTATGTATGTATGATTTCCGATCCGCAAGAGTTTAATCCCTATGTCCCATGGAACTTGCAAAAACGCAATCAATGCGAGCCTACGACAAACGCTATTCCGGTGAATCTAATGAAAGTGATCTACGGGAAGGCTCTTGTGATTGGTCAACCATAATTGCGCATTTCAGAAATTCCGCTCTATGGGACATATGAAAACACATTTTAGTGAAACGGAATCGGCTGAATAAAACCACGACTAATCACGAGCGTTCCGCCAGTTCCACACCATGGAATGCGCTCAGAATGTGCTCCCAAGGGATACGGAACTGCGGATATGCCGAACTGCGGAACGTTCGTGATTGATCGTGGCTTCATTCCGCCTGTTACGCAAATTTATTGGCCGCAGCACAAACTCTTGCATAACGCATAATGCATAATGCATAAGGAAATCAACTAATCGGAAATCAACTAATTCTTCTTTTCCATGGAATGGGAGGAAAGGAAAGATTCTGATAGTTGATTCGCTTATGCACTATGGGTTATGCGTCATG